TCATGGAAAAATACAAAAGCACTTGAGCTTCCAAATACAAAAGAGATCAAAAACTGAATAGAACACTATGATATTCACAAAAGACTTAGAGATCAATGAGTACATCATAGACTTCTCAGACGATTACATGTGAGCCAAATAGTAGCCACTCGCCTCAAACATTCCTACCTACAACTTATATAAAAAGATATTGTCATGGATCCTAGCTTTCCTTCTGGAACAAAACAGAGCTTTCCTGCCTCCCACTTCCCTCTGCAGCCTTGCGCACTCATTAAAAATCTGCCCCTGGAAGCTGGATTACCCTTTAAAATGGTGTGGAACATGGTGCAATGGGCTATACATGTAAGGGAAAACTGGCAAACATCACACACACACCCCCTTTACAAGAATGGAAAAACAACTGAGGACTTAAGGGAATATGTTTATTCACTTCAACTTTTCTTTTTAATCATGTCTTTCATTGGTAAATTGTTTACAAAAATGCAAACATGAGTTTCTTTATTATCATGAGAGATGAAACATGCTTTCTCTTGTGCCAGCTCAACTTTTGAGCAAATCAGAATTATAAGAATCTGGCATCTTTAAAAATTTGGATAATACAGTATTCATTTTAAGGCTCTTAACTTTAAGATGATACTGTCTATAAAGCCTGAAACAGTACCTTTTGAAGTCAGTGGAGAGACCAAAACATCTATATTATTAATGACAGTTAATCTAGCTGTTTTCCTAAAGTATCTATTTATTTCAGATCAGGACACAAAAGTAATATGATACATCTGATTAACAGGTATAATAGAAGTGTTCCTACAGCTAGGTAGTATGTGAACTTCAGTACCCAGCTGCAAAAGCACTGTACTCAGGATCTACTTAAGAAAGGGGAGCTTTCTGAAATCTCCATTAGGTAGACTCCTGAGAAAGACATTTCAACTGGATATTAAAGCACAACATAAATAACTAGTCATTAACAGTCATTAACACTCAGTTTATCATAAACCAAGAAGTATTCATATGAAAAAAATGCAAGCAGTTTTTTCAGTAGTATGTATCTGATTTATACAGCACTGCCATTCCCTTCAGGAAGACAACAGTCTTCCATGCTTTCTCATAAGGACAGTAATGTTAACAGAGGTAAATGCACCTGCACTTCTTTTTCATCATGCATTGAAGAGTTCTGGAATTGGAAAAAATGCTATTCTGAAACATTAAGTAAAAAGGCGTAGTCTTCTTTAAGAAAAGATTCTGTTCCTCATTTTGACTCTAAAATATTAATTAAAAATGCTCAGAATTTATTCAATTCAAATAACTATTCATATGAACCTGCACCCCAGTCTCTTGCCAATGGAAGCATTCTCTTCCCAACCTCAATAAGAGCACTAGAAAAGTATGTCAAATGTTTTTTAAAAGTTTCAAATTCACAGCTGCACTTTTAACTGCACATGGTAACAGTGGGATGAAACCAAATGTATCATTCCAAATGTATCATTCCTTTAACACAAGTGACATTCTAATAGTGAAAACCAAGTTCCAAACAAAGTGCAAGAGGAGAACCCACACCAAGCTCCACTTGAGGAAATTGATTGGGCAACTGCCTGCATATCTCTTAGATTTATAAAGTGGCCAATTAGCACTTGCACACAGGAAAAGGTAGCAGATCTCTGCTAGAACAATTTCTTCTGTTACTGGCTCAGTGGTTTTAGGCTAATGCTGAAGGTCTAGAAAGTCTTAATGAACTCAGTAGTTTTCTTCAAAGTAAATATGCAATAACAAAGCTGTTAGTCGCAATACGTTCCATATATGGTAAAATGTACTGGTTTTCCAAGTGTTCCAAAATATTAGAAAATTAAATTCAGGTTTTGTACAAAAGATATGATACTAGTCCTTGCTGTAAAACAGGAACAATAATAGCAGGTGTTTCCAGTTCATCACTGGAAACTCTAAACTTTACATGGTAGAACAATAATCTTCTGGGTGAGCAATTTATTAAAAATTATCTAAAATGCATTATAACTTCCTATTTTTCCTGCTTGGACTATTAAGATCTGTTTAGATTTACAATTTTAAAAAACTTTAATCAGAAAGCACGATAACGCAATAGAATCCTATGCATGTTTACTCAGAACTAAGTCCCACTGTGCTCAATAGAGTTTGCTTCCGGGAAAGCAAACCTAAGATTCAATCTAATGGATTTACTCCTGTAGTAAGTGCTCTTAAATCTACAGCTCAGTCTTAATCACATGATAAGAAGTAAATCCCACTTATTTCAGTGGAACATGGACTTTAAAGTAGCAAATTTTGGCCTGTAACCTAAAAACACAGAGCATTATCACAGTTTGTTTTCATCAAAAAAGAATAACCTTTAATTTGATGATATAATTATGATAGATTAAACAACTTAAAATATATCAGCTAAATTTTACTCAAAATTTAAATTATGCATTAACACTGGATGTTAAAAAAAGCTTTCAAAAGTGTACATCTTGATTTGCATGCACATTTTGTTTTCATTGTAGAAAACAATGTAACAACATCTTTCATCTGTTATGTATACACATCAATACAGGAACAAACCTCTTTTAACTCAGTGGCAGTTACTCCCCAACAAATATAACTAGGAATGGAGAGGGGGTTGTAAAGAAACTATTAATTTTAAATTAATATCTAGCAAAGCAATACATTAGGCTCCAATTCTGCGCATGCCTTCTTGAAAATAAGTCCTATTGAACTCTGTGATACTTCCTTGCAGGTAAACATGCATAGAACCAGACTGCCTATCTGCTTCATTCTCACCAGAGAAAATATATTAAAGACTCAAACTGTTACTGTAGTGTTGATAATAGAAAAGAACATTACATATTTTATAAAATTAGTTTTCAATACAATTGTAAAAGTTTACAATATGATAAAACGAACATTAAAGTTTACTGGCCACAGAAAAGAAACTGAAAACTTGGGACAGAAACATCTTCAACAAGTTTATTAATTAAATATACATACACAAAACTTTTGACATGGTAGAGAAAATGCTGTGTACTCTTCATCTGAACATCCATGTTTGTCTCATCCAATCAAGACATACATACATTAGAATTACCAGCCCAATCCAATTAAAGATATTGGGGTCAATTTAAAACCCTCAACAGGAACACAAACAGCATTACGAACAGAATCTTCTTAATGAATACCCTCAAAGAAAAGAAAAAAGTTTCCTTTTCTGAAAAACATATTTTCCTTATGAACTTCTCTAAATTGAATTATACAAGAACAAGCTTTCTATAAGAACAAGCATACAAAAGAGCAGAAGAAACCTTTTTGGAAACTATTTAATATAATTCATATAGCATTATAGTTCCCTTTGTACAGTATAACATTTTATATCCATACATCTTAATTAGAATAGCAAAAGTACACAGTTCCATTATGAAAATTCCACAAGCCTGCACACAGAACAGATTATCTCTAAATTCTCTGAAATATTGTTGAAAATGCTTTTACTTTTTCTAAACTACATTTTCAACAATTAAATTCAGTCCTCAACTTTACTTTGTTAAAAAGTACTCTGTATGTCAGGATACCCAATAAACATTCAGGTAATGTTCAGATTTTTATGACAATGTTCTGATTTTGTAACATCATAAAAGTTTATTGAAAAGAGCATACTTCAATTAAAAACAGACAACTAAAATGGCTCATGATATTTCATTAAATTCAATCTGCCAACATTATGATAGAGGATTGTGCATGGGTTTATAAGCAACTATAATTAAACTCCCATGGGAAAGTACGAAATACTTTTGATAACAGGAAAAATGAATTTAAAATGTCCTTGTATCTACATATTCATGGTACCAGACAATGGCATAAAAAATAGTGTTTGGGGTTCTGTTTAGAAATAATTGATCAACTTCAAATAATAACCCTTACCAGGCCTGGCCTTTTTCTCAAATTGTATGCAACTTCCAGGACATCATTGCAATGCCTATGCAATGTCTTCAAATCATGGTCAGTGCAAACAATTTGACAAGATTACGTGTAATTCCACTATCTGCAAAGCCATCACTATGGCTATTCCAGCAAATTTGATGCACTGAAAGAGGCCAGTTTGTTTACTTAAAGCAGCAAGCATCACTTCAGCAGTGCACTGCCATGAAAAGGACCGACAGCATATCCTTTCCTATTTCTATTATTACTACAGTCATATTTTAATGAGATATCATTTGTTGTTTATTAGCTCACATAATTTCCCATTAAATGAAAAGCCTTTTGTGGGTGCGGGGGGGGGGAGGTTGCAGACGTGTAAGTGGGAAGCTCGGTAACCAAACAACTGGGGCAGGGAGCTGGATGTGGTAGCTGGATGTACGGGGAGAGTGCAGACGCCTATTGCGCCACCATCCTCCCCAACATCATTTCAGATGTAAGGAAGCGAAATTCCATATAAATAACTGCGTGTGTGCACGCGCGTGCGTTGTATGTTGTGCCTCGTGGCCAAGTACACATCTCTTCCATCCCCCACCCCCGCCGTCTTTAATGTTACATAACCTCACATCTCCACAGGAGCCTGACAGGCCCCGCCAAACACGCGCGCGCGCGCGCACACTCACACATTAGAGGACTGGCTGTATTTTATGCCTCGGTTGCCGTATGTGATGACTGAGGAGGGGGAGGAGCCGGGAAGCTGCCGTCGCCACCTCCCTGTCAATGCAAGGCATTAAAGAAATCACTAGGCCAGAAACGTCCCCCTCAGGCTGGCCATGGAGGAGAGGTGATAAATGCCGGACACTGGAAGGAGGGGGCGGTAGGGTCGCCCGCGTGCCAAGCCGCAGATCTGAAGCATCCCCACCCTGCCGCCCGCCTGCTCTCACCTCACCTCACGTGCCCTAAGAGCGGCCAGCGCCCAGCTAGCATCCCCCGCTGCCCATCCTTCCGCGCGCGCTCCCAACCCCCTCCCCCACTCCTCACTGGCTGGCCGGTCCTAACGGCTCAGGCGCCCGCCCGCGCCTTACCTGCAGCAAAGACGAGGCCGGCTGATACTGACCGTTGGTTTGGAAGTGGCGGGAAGGCGGCGGCGGCTCCAGGCAGGGGGGCCCCACGATCCCTTCTCTCTTGTCCCCCCTGCCGGGTACGGTCCTTCACGGCCGCTGTGTGCCTCAGAGCTGTTGCGAGGGTCCCGGCCCCGGCTGGCAGCTCTCTGAGGAGACGCAGAAGGGGCGGCGGCTACATAGACAGCGACTCTCCGTTATTTAGGGAGGCGCCCGCCAGGGCAGCTCGGCCGCAGCATCCGCGGAGTCAGGGCGGCGGCTGCTGCGCCCAGATCAGCTAGCCGAAGTCACCGGGGGCCCAGCGTTCGGCTCGGCTCCTGCCGCCGCCTCCGCCTCTTCAGTCGCCTTCGCCAGGCTCGTTATTGACTTTCAGGAAAACTCCCAACGTCACTGGCTCCCCCCCGAGTGTCTCCCCCTCCAAGACGGTGGCGGCGGCGGCAGCATCGGCATCCCCCAGTTCTCGCGAGAAGCGCCAATGTGCGGAATGGAGCGGGGGGCTGCCAGACAGAGCAGGGAAGGAAAAGGCGGGGGCTGCCAGACAGAGCGAGCGAGGGAAGGGAGGAGGGAGACGGAGGTGAACAGGATGAATGCGAGGGAGCGAGCGAGCGAGCGAGGGAGGCACGCAGGAGCCACCAAGGCTGGCTAACCAACCGGCAAACGAATCCGGGGGGATCGAAGGTGAAAGCGAGGAAGAGGGCAAGAGTCAGCACCCAGCAGCCTGCGCACAGGAGAAGCCTGAGGGAAAGGACGTCAGGAGGCAACCCAGGAGGAAGGAGGGGTGAAAGCGGGAAAGCTGTATGCCCCGCTGAAGCCACTGTTGTGAGGAGGAAGGGGCCAGGGAGAAGAAGCAGGGAAACTCGCCCGCCATGCCAAACGATCAGAGCAAAGCTGAAACGAAAGCCTTTGTCCAGTCATCTTTTGAGCGTTGTTTCCCTTGCCAGGCACGAACATTAGCTTTAGTGCATAGTTAAGCTATCCCATTAGCTTTTTGTTGCTCCTGTGTTCTTTAAGTACAGGGCGACGATGTGATGACCCGCCTTATAACAAAGTTCGCCGGGCGGCTTGCAACAAAAAGTGCTTCCATCAAACACTTGCGAAGGATTTATGTGTGAGGGCAATATCTTACTCCTGCCCCTTTCCTAGGGCAAAACATGTACACTCAGAAATGTACCTCACATGGTTTTTAACTTGCTTCTTCACTTTTAAGGGCAAATATTGCGTAGTGCTTAATGTAACGGGAACAATTTTTTAAAAATCCAGATATGAGCTGCAATTCATGTTTCTGCATGTTTTTTTCAGGACCAGTCAGAACTATCAAATACTACATGATGATGGTCAAATAAGGGTTCAGTGCTTCCCTATAGAGGCAGTATACTGTAGTAAAGCCTTTGGTTTAAATAACTCATAGTGCATTCTGACTTTTGCGGCATAACTCTTGACTATTGAGGTAATTCTTCATTTCAAGTCAAATACGTGTACTAGCTGAAAGTTGGCACCCATTTTCAAAGGATGGGTACAATAGGTCCTTTCAACACAGTTGAGATACTAGAATGAAATGTGTCATGTTGAAGGTATACTGTAAAACGTATAGGTAAATGTTTCAATGTGACCGCCACACATTTTAAGGAGGATAGATGAGGTGTAAAACATCCCAGTGTGCTATATTGTTTGAAAATTGAACTATCAGAATAGAAAGTGGTCTACATGGCCAGAACAGAAGTGTTTAAATCTGAATGCCAGCTTGATGGCCAGTCCATCAGACAGCCCATCTCCTGTCTTTGTTTGATCCTGGAGTTAGGAGGTCTAGCAGAGCAAGCAGGGAACTCAAGTAATCCGTGTGGAGGCCTGCATTTATTGACAGCTGGTGGTGTGGAGGTCTGCTAGGGAATTCTGCTCCCACAGTAACTCTTTTCAAGGAGGTTTTAGGTCTAAGCAGGGCTGACCCCCAGACGGTTAAACATGTTGAAGGAACCACTTACAACTTGCATTTGCCATAGCTGCATTATCATCTAAATCATTTGTGGAACCTAGAATCATAAGAGTTTCTCAAGACCTACTGTAAAATAAGTGTTGTTGAACCAATTGAAACTGGCCACAGTGCTTTAAAATTTAAGATTTAACAGGGAAATCATCTAGAAGGTACAACACAGTCACTTTCAGCTTCAAAAGGGAAAACTGAGGGCACTGGTTAAAGTTGAAAAGGAAAGTCAAGAGGGTTAAATCTTTTCAGAATGTGTGGGGATGACCCAAAACCACAGTAATAGGTTCTCGGTGAGAACATACACTACAGATCAGGAAAGGTACCACCAAATTCAAGAGATTACCAGAATAGTTAGTGGTATCAAGGAAAGTGTTAAAGAGAAAAAAATACTTCAGAATATAGAAGTCATGCCCAGAAAATAAGAACAAAAATGCCAAGCAGACAATAAGGGATGCAAAAAAATGGTGGTGGTGGTGAGGGGTTTTTGTTTGTTTGTTTGTTTTTTGAGGTCATATCACTAAGTCTGTCAGTAAAAATAAATATATCAGAAGAATTGAACCAGTTAGGAAGGTGGTTGGAGCACTGGATAACACGAGAATTAAAGGACTACTAAAGGACACTGAGGCTGCAGAGAAAGTAAATGAATCACTTATGCCTATGTTCTCACAGAAAATATCCATGCCTTAACTAATATTTTCAAGAATGGCATCAGAGAAAGTAGGAGGAGTGAAGAACCACCTACCGATGAATTGATTTTAAAAAAGATCTTGGACTGTGCCAAAATGGACAGATTGACTTTGTCTCTGAAGGAGGAAGAGGATACAGACTTCTATCAAATTTGGAACTCCTATTATTGGCTAGAGAAACGGGACTATGCACAGACTTAAATATGTTTATGGATTACTATAAAAAGAAAAAGTCTGGGGGGCTGAACCAATAGGTCTGACGCTTTTGATGATTGATGATTTTTAGTTTCTTTTTGTTAGTAGAAAATAACAATAAAACTTATTTAAAAAAAGAATGGCATTAGAGAAAGTAAAGCAAATAGTGGTGACAAGATAGTTATAGATCTTATTTACAAACTGAAAACAGTTAAGTTGACCCACATGGTATCCATCCAAGAGTTCTTAATGCATTCAAATGTAAAATTGCTGTTCTTCTAACAAAAATATGTCCCTCAGATTATGTCAGCACCAAATTAATGTTGAAAGATCAATGTCATGCCAGTTTTTAAAGAGGCATTCAGGAAAGTTCAGGCCAGTTAATTTAACATTGCTCTAGATAAATTGATGGAAAGTGTTATTAAGATAAAATTATAAAACCTATAAGAAAAGGTTTGTTGGAGAGGACTGATTATGGTTTTTGCAAAGTCCGGTGTAATTAACTGTTTAGTTCTTTGAGAGTGTTGGCAAGGATATAGATAAATGTGATCCCTTAGACACTGTTTCTTTGTATTTCTGAAATTTCTGTCAAAGCTCCTGAGCAACTTAGCTGTCATGGGATAAATAGAGAGATCCTCATCTGGATCAGTAGCTGATTAAAGAACAGAAAGTGGAGGAATACATTTTAAAGATATGTAAATAGTAACTTCCTCCAAAGTTATGAATTGGGACTGGCACTTTTCAACTTGTTCATAAATTATTTGGAGTTGGGATGAGCAGTGATATAGCCAACTTTTCTGATGACACCAAATTATTTATCATAGTTAAACCACTAAAATATAGGAAAGAATACCAGAAGGTTATCTCCATACTGAGGGAACAGGCATTGAAATAGCAAATGTGGTTCAATGTGAATAAATATGATGCAAATTGGGACAAAAACTCCACCATTATGTATATGTAGTTAGGGTTTCTGATGTTAGTTAATTGTTAGAAAAGGAAAGGTGGGATTATGCTGGATGGTTTCATGAAAATGTAGACCCAATAAGCAGTTACTGTGAACAAAGGAAAATGCTATAAAGGTAAATATGAAGGTAAAATCAGTCTGAGAGTATCATTATTCCTTTATACAAATGGTGTGTAGCCACACCTAGAACAGTGCACAATTCTGATCACTGCATCTTAAAAAGGATAGTGTAGAGAGAGAAGGTATTCCACAGGGCAAACAACAAGATCAGTGGTCTGGAATAGATTTCAGACTTAATAAAAATCTTTAATACATTGGCCACAGTCAAAAAAAACTTCCAAGTGAAAAAATGCAATTCCATGATTAGTGCATCTCTGAATGTCCAAAATCTCTGTATGTTGAATTCGGGGGGGGGGGGGGAATCTTAACCAGCTATTTGATTTCTAAAGTTCAGATGCATAAGTGCTCTCTCTGTTAGGACAATTATCCCAGGAGAAAATCAGTAATATCATTAAGAGCTAGAATGTTCCATAAGTTATTCTAACTACATTTATATCATTCATGTCAACCATAGATTTATTGCAAATAAATGTATTTATTACAAAAAGTATTCCACTAATGGCATACAGTAATTCAGACTCTATGCAATAAATAAAGGGCTTTAAAGTTTAAAGTGCTTTACATTGTCTCATTGTGTGAAAATACCCCTATTTTATTTGCAATTAATCCTTGCAGGAAAATGGAGAGGTTTACCCCCAGACAGTGAAGTCTGAGCTTCATCTTTCCTGAAGAAAAGGTCTTGAAAGCTTGTACAGTTTTTGGTGACTCTTTGTGTTTTGGAATGTTTCCTATCTTCATGATCAGTACAAAGATCACAGCTATCTTGTGAGGATGGGGCACATTTACAGTATTATTAATATGTATAAGATCCATATAAGGAGTAGGAGAAATCAATTGGACATTTGTTGTGACAATATATATCAAAAGTAGAAGCTAAATATTTGAGGGATATTTTTCAACCAAGTAATAAGGTTTTATCAATCATTTACATTTCATAAAAGAATGTAACATGCAATCCATTAGTTACTCCTTCAAAAAGTAAGAATCCCACAGCTTTCAACAGCAAATCAATGTTTAAGTAATGTTCCCAGATAAAATCCTATTGTCACACAGGTTACAGTCTTCAACCACCTCTGTCACAATACATAAGGAGTATATACCTTAATGGGAAAAGTGGGCTTAATGGGACACAGCCCTAAATTTTCCCCAAAGTTTTGGCTATCCATGCTAAAAATACATAATCCTAAATGTTTTCTCATTTGATATGTTTTGTCCCTTCTTCATCATTGTAAATCTACCCTGGATTATTTCCATGTTAATGCTCCATACCTAATAATACCAACAATAATAATATGGTAAAGACAGGGTAAAACGTTGACTATATCTACTATCATTCCTTGAGTCTTCAAAAGAAATCTGGTCCAACACCATCACCCCAAATATGGAAAGAGAGAAACAGGGACTTTTCCATGAAATGGTCTTGTTCTCCACTTATCTCTCATATTCATGTTTCCCCTTTTATGGCATTTCTGGCTGACAGACAT